GGTTCAGGCCCAGCACCACTCCCCACCAGAGCAAATTTTGTGTCGGTGGTCAAGAAGCAAAGGGGGAGAAGAACTGTGGGTATTAGGCCTTAAAAAAAAGAAATGTATCTTATACTCTCACATTTTATTTCTCCTGAGTAGCAAGCAAATAGCCACCGTACAGGGAAGGACTCACTCCGTGGCTGGCTTCCAAAATAAGGCAGTCAGCTAAGGAACGCCCCTCCGCCGCGCCGCCCAGGCAGCAGGGGAGGCTGAGGGACCTCACTTGGGGCGATGGGATCCCAGTTCTCCTGTGTGTCCCTGCTCCTGAGAGGTAAGGAGCTTTTTCGTCACTCAGAGATACGTGCCTATTTCAAAGGCGACATACAAAATAGCTCGTTTCTCAGAAGGCGAGTCTGATTTGAACATGTACTCCAAAGATACAGCACACTTGCCTACTGTTCATACGAGCTCTTCACCCATGACTTCGTGCAATAGCAGAGGTAGGATCTGACATTTGCAAGGCTGAGCATTTGCTTTGTATGAAGAAAAACCCGAATTGAAATAGCAACACGTCCAACTGGGTGCTGAGGTGTGACAGATGGTTTAGATTGTGACCCCAGGACAATCTCCCCTTGAGGGCTGAATTTAGGGGTTTTACCTCACACTCCAGTATATGTCAGGGATATCAGGTCTGATGTGGCTTGAATTGAACTCAGTTTCTTTTATAAACATCTATTTGATTGTAAAACTGTCCAATGTAAGACGCAAGCAAACTTTGGTGCCTTAATACAGAGCCATACAAACATTACTGCAAAAGTGCTGACGTTGTTTTGACTTCTCGGTGCACTTTGTGAAATCAGCCCTGGTATAGGAAATTATCCTGGAAACCAAGGGTGAGAAACTATATTCACTAACGATCTCACTGCGTATTTACAATTATATGAAAATAGTTTTTCTTGGTCCTAACTAAAGAATTTTAGGTGGGTTGAGTCACACAAGGAACTACAAAGGCTTGGAAAAAAACAGCTGAGATATCTCAGAGAGAAAATTATGACAGCAATGAAGGAAAGCACAGTTTTAGGAAGGGCATGGGTTAAGGACTGGCTGTGTACCATTAAAACACTGGCATGGGCCTGCTCCTACGATCATACACTGGTAATGTTTCACAGCAGTAATGCAAAAAGACAGTCTTGTTAGGAATAAAGAATGATGGGTTCTGGTACGATGCAGAAAGTTACAACTTGCCTCAGAAAACATTTCTATAAAGCAAGTCAATGTTATTTTCTAACTAAGCTGGAACCTTTCACAAAAGAAGAACTGTGGGTATTAGGCCTTAAAAAAAAGAAATGTATCTTATACTCTCACATTTTATTTCTCCTGAGTAGCAAGCAAATAGCCACCGTACAGGGAAGGACTCACTCCGTGGCTGGCTTCCAAAATAAGGCAGTCAGCTAAGGAACGCCCCTCCGCCGGTCACGGGTCCCTGGCGGGCAGCCCCTAGGAGACGGCAGCCCCGGGCTGGGAGCCGCCAGCAGGCTGACCCTTTTAGGGGGCAAAAAAGGCAAAAAATAAATCGTTCAGTTCACACCGGGCTGCGGGGATCTCGGAGGAAGCAGCCTGGGAGGCGTTCCGGGGAGCTGAATCTTACCTTTAGTCTATAGGAGATTTAGCTGGTGGGGGCTGCAACCAAAAAAGCGGCAGAGGAACCCCCTTGCTGTGGCTGTGGCAAGCACCTCCCTTGCTGACCCCTCTGGGGCAGCTTTAAGTTTGGCGTGGTCATCATCAATGATGGGGATAGAGCAAAAACCAAGGTTGGGAACCATCTCACCAGCTTCCCACCACTGAAAACCAGATAGTGTGTCCCTGTGTCTCTCCCTACATGTATCACCACCCTGATTGCTGCTGGAGCAGAGACAAGGACCCTACTTTTCTGAAAATGAGGGCTTTCAGACCTGCCCACAGCAGCGGCCCTGCATGACAAGGTGCACAGCTCTCTGTAGCCATGCCCGATTTACTCTGGACGAGCCCTTGGGGGTACCCATGGCAGAGGGAAATCACATTCCCCACCCTCTGCCCACCAGGGAGTTAGGGCAGACACTTCTTTTGGGGCAGTTTTGGGGACCCTCCTTTGCAGGGACACCTGCCCAGCTGAGAGCCAGTTTCCCAGCCCCCCCATGAATTGCTGTCAGCAATTTCTAAGAATGAAATAGTAGTTTAAATATTTCACGGGTGAAAGATATTCAGCGCTGGAATTGATGGCAGGAGAGGAGAGTTCTTTGCTTGTCATGAACTGCTTCCCTTTCTCCTGAGTAATACCAGGGTGCAGAGCTGACGTACCTCCCTGGCAAATGAGTATCAGGAGTGCATTTTTATTTGTCTCGGGAACACTGTGCATTCCCAATTAATAATGTGTAATGTCTATCTGTGCTATTAATAATAACTAGTCCACCTTGCATGTTGCTTACCAGGCAAAGAAAATGTAAGGTCCTTGTCCTGTGCCCTGCCAGTCTCCAGATCTGCAGAGCACTTCCGAAATATGTTAGCAATATACCCAAGAAACAGGTGTTAAGTCCTGTGTAATAGATGGGGAATTGCCTTCAGATGTTTAGAAAATTCAGGCTGGTTCATAGTCACATCTCGTGCTGCTCCTGCCCACTTTGAAACTTCACTGAGGCAGCAGCCGCATTTCTGGCAGGGTTGTGCATCCTCCGAGGTGTTGGGTGTAAGTACTTAAACTGGGAGATTACTACAAAAGCAAACAAAAAAAATCAGCCCTGGAAATTGCTGTGGTGCATAAAAGCTCTGACTCCTCAGTTTCCACTACTGAGGAAAAGAGATGTTTCCCACACCTTAGACAACAGCCTTTCCCCTAAATATGTACTAAAAGAAACCTGAAACAAATAGTTTCGGTATCATGGGAAAGATCATGGGTAAGCTCTGGGATAGGGCTGTTAGATAATTAGCTGGAAATGCATCTGTACTTGTTGGGAGCAATTTCTTGTGTTTGGCAGTTGTTTGGGGGATAAAGGGAATGCGAGAGATGGTCTGGGGGGATCTGGGGAGGGGCAGAACCCTAGGGAAAGGAGATCAGGGCTCGATGGGTGTGCTCACTGCTGCCTTTCCTTTCTCTCCCACTCCCTTCACCCAGATGGCTCCTTCCCGATGAACCAGCGCAGCTTCCCACCATCCTTCTGGAACAGCACATACCAGCCTTCCTCGGTCCCAGCCACCCTGAGCAGCCCCCTGGCAGCTGCCGCCCACAGTGAGCTGCCCTTTGCCGCTGCCGCTGCTGACCCCTACGCACCGGCCTCTCTGCATGGCCATCTGCACCAGGGTGGCCCTGAGCCCTGGCACCATGCCCACCACCACCACCACCACCACCACCACCCCTACATCGGCACACAGAGCACTGCCTACGCCCGCCCCGCCACCATGCACGAGGTCTACGGGCCCCACTTCGACCCCCGCTACGGCTCCCTGCTGGTGCCCACCGCCTCCGTCCGCCCCCACCGCCTCACCCCTGCCTCCGTGCCCACACCGGTCAGCCCCCCCTGCGAACTGGGCAAGAGTGAGACGGGCACTGCCGCAGCCTGGACGGCGCCGGGACCCTTCCCCAATGCGGCGGGGGACATGGCACAGAGCCTCGGCCTCAATGTGGATGCAGGTAAAGAGTTGCCTTTGGTTCTTCCAGATCCCCTGGCTCACATGCACTCCTGCCGCCCTCACACAATCCGTAGTAGTAGGGAAGGACCCCTGTGGTGGGGCCGCTGGGGTGCTGCTGTGGGGGAACAAATTGGGGATGGAAGGCCCATGGGAGACACCTGAGCTCTGCCCTGGGTAACCTTGGGGCTCTCAGGCCAGGCTAGTGAGGAAAGGAAGAGGGAGAATGGGACAGGGCAACATAACACACACATACACCCCTCCCAGCAACATCCTTTGAATTTCTGGCACCTGCAAACATGCCCTGAGGTTGCTCTGAGGTACTCTCGTCCTGGCTCTGGCCCTGCTTTTGCCTTGAGCAGTGAGAGCTGGGAGCAGGACAGAGCTGTCCCAAAGGTCACTGCCTGGCTCCCTCCACAGGCTGCCCTGAGGGCAGAAGCGTGGGCAGCCACAGCAGAGCAAGTCATTTCTCGACCCCACACACGTTCATGAACTACCTCTTCTCCTTATTTATTTTTATCTCCCAGTTTTTGAGAGGAAAGCACAATTGCATTTGGTGAGCAAAAAGGACAATGGTTTTCCTCTGGTAGTGGTACCCTATGCCTGATGTGGTGCCTGGAGGTAAGGCTGTGTGGCCATAGTAGTGACAAAAAGATGACACAGGCATAGCCAGCAGTGGTGGTTCCTGAGTCAGTGGCTGTGGGGGCAAGGAAAGCCTGATCTGGTGACAGTTCTCTGTGCTGAAATTGGGTTATTGCAGCCACAAATGTCTCCTTACGGTAGCCTCAATTTAGGCAGAAGGGACGTGTGTCTCTCTCGAGTCTAGCTTGGGCTCTTCTTGCTTCACAGCCAGCCTCCTGGGGCTCCGGGGAGTCCATGCTTTAGACTGATTTTCTGATCTCAGCTGGCAGATATGCAGTTTGTCTTTCTCTGTCCTTAAAAACCTGTACCTATTTTTCTTCTTTCCTTTTTTTCTTCTCTCCGTTTTCAGGTTTGCAGCCTCAGGATAAAAGCAAGGATCTATACTGGTTTTAGAGCTGTCCTTCACTCTTCTTCCCCTGGCTCTCCCCTGTAGATCTCTGCCTGTTAGACAAGGTGGCATTCAGAGCTGAAATCGAGTCAGTTTGTAACAGCTTCTGATCTTGGTTTGCAGCTCGCCGTTACTCCTTCTGTGGCGGATCCCTTCTGAGCTGATGTGCTGACTCAAAGACTCTCAGATCCCCCCTTGCCCTTTTCCAAGCCCACAATGGTCCTGCAGCTCGGGGAAAGACAACAGGACTTAAAAGGACCTGGCACTGCAAGGATGGTACTTTAAACTTATTTTGGAGAAGAAAATCCTTCCATTGCAAGAGGAGAGCCAAAGACATTGAACTTCTATTTAAGCAGACCCCACACCCAGAACTGCGGTCAGACTACTCTAAAAGAGTCAAATGACGTCATGGATGGTGATGCAAAACCACTGGCCTTCATACAGAGGGCAGAGGAAATCGTGGTTTTTGGGGTTTTTTTTTTTAGGGTGTGAATATTTTTTTATGACAGCGAAAATTATTTCTCAAATGCAAACATGGGAAAGCTACTTAGCAGTTTTGAACTGGATTTTTACTTTATTATAGAAAAGTAAAAGGAGAAGAAACTGGAACTCATGAACATTTCTGGACTATTAAGGAACTGGTCAGATTTTTCAGCATTGTGGTTCTGAGTGGCAAGTGTGTGGCTGGGGCCACCTGCCCTGGGCTTACAGAGATGCAGCTGTTCCACGCACAACTGCTCAAACCCCAGAAACACGAAAACCAAGGTGGCACTTCTCAGAGTCTGGCACAACATTTGTATTGGATATATAACGGTTGTTTGGTTGTGGTTTTTTGTTGGTTTTTGTTGTTTGTTTTTTTTTTTCTACAAGACACATTTTCTGGTGAAAGTAAAACCCTCTTAAAGCAGGGGGAGGAAGGAAACCCGTGAAGAACAGCATGCCCTCAACCCAACAGCCTTTATGGGAAACGCCAGAAGGAAAGGCACATGATGGACGATAGGTCTGGGTTGCCTCTAACATTTCTCTTTGTCTACTTGTCGCTGTCGTTTTGTCACTTTAATAATTTTTTCATTGTTTTGAAAGGGGGGATAAGATATCTATTTAACAGTAGGAAAGCTGCATTAAAGGTATCTCCTTCTTTCACCCTGTGTGCTTTAATGAAGAATTAAAGCTAAATAAGAGAAATGAGGCAAACTGGAGACTTCAGGATGAAATAGGAAAAATACCCGTCATGTGGATGAAGTGAATTATTTTATTACTTTGCAGTAAAGATAAATAGAAATCCTAGCAGTTGAAAATATTTTCTTCGTGAGTAAAAACTACAGTGATAAATACAAAAGTTAAGAAAACGCAAGATTGTTGCAGTGCTACATTTTAGTGTATGGTGTCTGTAAAATAGGTTAAAGTAAGAGTTCTGCTCCATAATAACAGATGGTTCATCATGAAGCTAATAGAGGAGGGAACTGTAGCATTTAGCATTGCTATTGCACTATTAGTGCAATATTAAAATGCTATTACAGGGTGATGAATAATTAATGAAACAGTGCAGAAATGGAGTGTCAATTTCCCCCTAGACTTAAAGCTAACTTTTTTACATGCAAAATATCGGATCTCAACACAACCGTGTTTGGGTTTTGTTTTTTGTTTTTTTTTTTCCCCCTGTTTTTTCTTAATGTAATGTCTTCAAAGGCTAACAAAGTTTTATGCATGTAAGAATAGAGTCCTAACATTATCCCTCTCATACTAAGAGAAGCAGCAGAATGGACTTCCGTGGTGAGAGTTTTTACCTACTGACACTCTCACATAATCTGACATAATGTTCATCATGTGTCAGAAATGGAGTTATGAATAACCCAAACTCACTTCTCCTACGTTTCAGCTCAGCAATAACTCCATTTCTGGGAAAGTATAGGAATCCTAATAGTAAGAGTATAATAAAGCAGTGTGAGTAAATACTGTGAGAAGCTGGCAAGGAGCAATGTGTGCAGAGCATCCCCGGCCAGAGCTCGGCAAATGGCAGGAGGTGACTTGCCGTGATTTCTTCAGCCAGACATACCCCTGAGCATTTCGCCCTCAGCCTCCAATTAGCCAGAGCCCCAGAAAACTGTAAAGGGCAAGGGAAGGGCTCTAGAATTTATATTACTGGTTAAACCAAAAATGTTCTGAGGTGTCTATCAAGAAGGCAGCAGCATTTTGCAGGAGAAAAGTAACTAAAAATGGCATTTAACTTTATTGCTGCAGAGGCTTGGAGATAACAGGATCATTCTGTGAGCATTTGCCTGTGGGTTTTCTTAGGCTGTTTTTAAAGGGTTTTTTTTTTTTTAAAAAAAAAAAAATATGGCTCTATCATTGGTTGTGCTTCACTACAATAGTTTCTTTTTTCTTTCTTTTTTCCCCATCACCTCTGCAATCCATAATGAGGAGTGCTGGGCAATACAGCCCAAATATGTTTGGAAATGCTCATGTAAGCACAAAACAGATTTACTTCATTGGCATTTACAATTCATTTTGTCTGTGAATGTTTTCAAACACAAGAATTTATGCAATGAATACATGAATATTGGTTTCAATATTTGCCCTCTAGGTACTCTTTTTTATTGTTGTGTTGTGAAAGCATCCAAACAGCAAAGTCAAGGTTGTGGTTTAAGGGGTTAAGTGTGCATTTTAAAAATGCTCCTACTCCAGATGGACTGCAGTCTGAAAGCACGCCTGCCCTATTTTGTCTAATCCTTGCAGCGTTTTGCTCACTCTGTTATTCTGTCTCCAATGGGACTGCTCACAGCACCTACCTTTAAGACTTGGGCATGTGTCTTTGCAGGACTGGAGCCACAGCTCCTAATGCAGTAAGTGCAAATAACCTTGGTGCCATTTCTCAAGTCTGTTTTATTCCTCTTTGCATCATAGGTTATTTCTTGCTTAATCATGAATGCTTGCAGGAAATCTGAAAATACAAAAGAAATCCTTCCTATATGTTACATATGCCTTATCTGTCACCTGTTTGTCACACACCAAAAGAGCAGGGCTGTGAGTCGCTGCTCCTGCAGCCTGAAGAGCAGATCCTCCTGCGGCCCCTTTCCGAGTGTCACTCAGGTTAGCACTGGCCTGTGCTCTCTAGCTACCCACCTGACAAGCAGACTAGCCCGTCTGGGACAGACGAACAAACACAGCTCCCGGCCCGTTCGTGCAGAGTGTAGGGTAGGAGGCAGAGGGAGGGGATCTGCTTGCAGAGCACGGCAGTAGTGGGCATAGCGAGAGTATCCGCTGCTGCCGAGCCAGAGCAGTTTGTAGGAGTTCACAAAGTGAGCCCTGGGCTTACTCACTGCAGACATTTATTTCCCATTCTGAAAAGAACTGAAAACTACCAAAGCATGAAGGAACAAAGATTAAAATACTGGTTTAATGGACTCTGAGGTTAATAGTGATCTGTCAAGGGAAGGATGGACACGGGATGGGACGTAATATTTGTAGTCACAGACCCCACTTTATTTTAGCGAGGGTTTTGCTTCAGTATAGCTGCAGTTGCAAGAATGCAGCATGGAGCTCTTAGACATATATATGTGCCCCTGCACTTACAGTCTAATGTTAGAGAGCTTTAGGGTGACATTGCTTACTTCCCACCTCCTTTTCCAGTCATGTTTTCATAGGAGCAGAGGAGGAGGAGGGAAGGAGAGAGAGAGTGAAAGAGAGTCTGAGTAATCCCCTGTGCCTTCCCTGTGCCTCCCTTGGACTGTGTGCTGCCCGTCTCTGGGGAAATGTATCTGCCCTGTCTCCTCCTTGGGTCAGGACGGAGTGCAGTCCCTTCTCGCCTTCCCTTTGAAGTCCTATTTAGGTTCATGACAAGCTCTAGCGTGTGCTTAAAGGTTGGTCCCTTCCTGGAAGAGAGGAAAATGGTGCTGGTAGTTTTGGATGCACCAGGGTTATCTGACTGGCAGTTCTTGTGTATCTTTTTCTGGGCAAGGGTTGTAATTAACGTGCCCTTTTGATTACAGAAGGGTGAGCCAGCTCCTCTGCGGGATTGTGGTGTCCTGGCTGGCTTCCCTGGCCTGCCACCCAGAGGAGCAGTTGCAGCAGGGGAAGGAGAGAGAATTGGTTTGTGATTATTTGGAGGAGTGGGGTATCAGTTTTGTAGGCTAGGGAATTTTGCATAGGGAAATGCAAATAAGGGTTTGTTAAAAGAAAAACAAAGAAGAAAAGAAAAAGAAAAAAAAAGAAAAAGAAAAAGAAAAAGAAAAAGAAAAAGAAAAAGAAAAAGAAAAAGAAAAAGAAAAAGAAAAAGAAAAAGAAAAAGAAAAAGAAAAAGAAAAAAGTAAAAAGCTTTACTTCAGTTAGCCACTAAGCTTTGGGGCTACAGTCTTGGGAACTGTATTATTAATTTAGTTCCCAGCACAGTAAGGCTGTTCTCTAAACCGACTGTACTGACAAGCAGCTCTGGCTAGCAGGGGTCCCCTGTTCATGTCCATCTCTAATCATACAGGAGTTACCTTTGCAGTGCACTTTGTACCACTTCCTGAGTCAGGCATTACCCGTGATTAATGTGCACTAAACTTGTTCACGCAGATTGCAACAGAGAGGCAACAAGGTGCCACGTCCCCCTTCTCCTGCCCCTGCCCTCTCTGCATCAGGTCCTGCAGGTGAAGGGGAAGAAGGTGCTGGAGGAGCCTGTGCGGGGTGCAGCGGTTCAGGAAGCAGAAGTGCAGGGTGCAGGGGTGCGCATCCCTGAGCCCTACTCATGCACGAGCACCTCCCTTTGCCTGCAGCCCACAAAAACACATGCTGACAGAGGACTGGAGCGTGTCATTAGGGATGTGTTAGTTGCTTACTCACATTCATGGTAAAGGCAGGATAAATACCAAACAGGAGAGCTGTCACATTAGGAGATGTAATATCATGCTGGATGTTACTGAGGGTGCCTCATCTCCCCACTGCTGACCTGGTCCGGGTATGGGTGTAAGGAGCCCTCCTCATTCATCACACCCTCCCAACTTCTTCACGTGTCCTCAACTTCTGATCCCAGCCCTGACTCTCCATCTCACCATCCCATCTCTGTTCTCCTGCCTCACCCAGT